ATATTGAACATAGTACAGACTTTACAACAGCTATTTGTGTGTAGCGTTTTGATTGTCCAAGGGCTTCATGTAATCCATGCACAATTAGAAATATATGGTAGCATGAATGTAGGTCACATAAATAGTTTATTTTACATATAAGATTTGAGCATGTGGGAACTTGGGGTAGAATTCATAGAATTGGTCCTCTATGAATATGGGTGCCTGCATAGTGAGAGGAATAATTACTTATACAGTACTTAGAAACTAATCTTGTATATTTAGGCATCAGTGAAAGTTGCAGATATGAGGATTATTATAGATGTTTTAAAGTGCCTGTTTCCGTCTTGTGAAAATCCAGTATATTTTAGTAGTAGTCACCTCCATGCTGATTTTGTCCATAGCAATCTTAAAGGACAGTGTAAGCTTACCAGCATTGAAGTCTAGAATCCAGTAAACCATTTGGACACTGGATATAACATCGGTTATACCAGGTGCGGACATTCTCTGACCTTTGAACATGGAAATTCTTGCCTTACAGAAAGTATCTTCTGGCAGGCTCATGTCTTCTCTGTTAGAGTAGCATCCGGGTTTCTTTTTCAGTCTCACCTGCTTTGTTATATGTACAGGCGGCACTTCTGTCAGAAGCTCTGCCGTCTTGTGCCAGTGATAACCTGGTATGATGAGCTGACAGCTCAGGAGAAGTGAAGATACCAGTCTTCACTGGGGACAGGATTCCCTGCTTCCTCTCTTTATTGATCTCTAGGACTTCCCTCATCCAAATCCAGGGGCTACCATTCACAGCTTAGAGCCAAGGCTGAACCAGACATGTCCTGTGACCATGTTGGAGAACACGAGTTGGCTAGTACTGTCAGCTTGAGGACCTAGCTCTCTGTGTTTCCTTTGTGAGTTCATTTGGGGATGATCTCTTACTCCGAGTCAGTTCTGGCAAAGGGCAAAGGTAGGCTTTAGAGTTACCAGAGGTCTCTGGAACCAAATAACTTGTTCTGCATTCTCATAGTGCCACAGACATCCAGCCACTGGCCACTCACCTTCTCATCCATTCCTCAGCAGATGGAATAACCAGTATGATGGTTGTTTAAGGTTTTTATTAATTTGGAGGGTTTTTTGTTTTTTCTTTTATAGGAGAAAAATAAAGCTGGAGATATAAAAACAGCTGCTGAGAAAACAGCTACAGACAAGAAACGGGAACGGAGGAAAAAGAAATATCAGAAGCATTTGAAAATAAAGGAGAAGGAGAAGCGTAGAAAATTGCTTGAAAAGAAGAACCCAGATCAGCCTGGGAAGTCCAGCAGAGCAGCAGCTACAGAGAAGCTGAAACAGTTGACTAAAACAGGCAAAGTGTCCTTGCTAAAGGTGAGTGGGGAGAGGCGCCTGGCAGAGACTTCATGGCATGTGTGTGCTGTTTCTCAACTCAGGTTTCAGAGTTGCCTCTGGGTTCAGGAGCACACTGCTCAGCGGTGGCCTTGGCACCCTTCAGGCTTTCTGTAGTCCTTTATAATGACAGGCCTGGCAGCAAGTTTTCTCCTCTCTTTTCCCTAAAGTACAAGGGTACTGTAGTAATGGAATGTATTTGTTAAGGTTGCTGATTGAGTTTTTGTAGTGGCTTTTCATGTTTGTGCATTTGTTCATTCTTGTGATCATAATGTACTGTTATACTTTGAGTCTTCTTACATAAGCATGTTTTGTAACATCTCTGTGTTTTGTTTTAACTGCAGGATGAACGAAAAGACAAGCCCTTAAAGTCATCTCAGGCATTCTTTTCTAAATTGCAAGATCAAGTAAAAATGCAGATCAATGAGGCAAAACAACCAGGAAAGATAAAGAAGAAAAAACAGGACATTTCTGTTCATAAATTAAAGCTGTAATATATTTGAATTTAATGTACAAATCTGTAAGTTTCTGTCCTACTGTTTTATATTAAAATTCTTGAGACCAATCTAAGTAAAGTAAATTCTTAGTTTACTTCCTGTTGCTTTGATAAAGACTATGACCAAAGTAAATTGTGGAGGAAAGGCCTTACAGTCAGTCTGTCACTGAGGGAACTCAGGGCAGGAACATGAAGGCAGGAACTGGAGCAAAGACAGTGGAGAAACATTGTGTACTGGCTTGTTCTCTGTGCCTTTTCCAGCTTGCTGCTTATACAGCCCAGAACCACCTACTCAGGGGTTGCACCATCCATAGTTGGCTGGGTCCTCCATCAATCATTAATCCAGGAAGTGTCCCACACACTTCCCTACAGCCCAGTCTTGTTTTGTTTTACCCCAGATGACCCTGGCTTGTGTTAAGTTGACAAAAAATAAATATGTAAATAGCCAGCAGAGACCCACCTTTGCTTGTTGGGAACTATGTGAGACTTCACAGTGCTGTGGCAGACTGAATTTAGAAGTCTCCCTGGGACACACCCACAATCAGAGCCACTCAGGAGAAGGAGGCTGGAGGATCAGAAATTCAAGATTTTCCTTTGCTAAAAAGTGAGTTGGAGGCCAGGTTAGACCACGTTAACACCCCAAATAACAAAAACCAGATAGAAAGCCTGTTTGATTTCTCTGGGTGTGAAACCGGTCTGAGCTTCCCAGTCCCTTGCCTGCATTAGTGCTATCCAGCTGACTCCACTGATGTACCATGTCGCCTGCTAGGAGAAGCCCAGAGCCAGTCACATCCCTCATAACCAGCTGTCTACATAGCCCTTTGAGTTCTTGATTTCTTCTCCCGCCATTATGTCTGTTATTTCACAAAACAGCACTTTTGTGTAGGTGGCTTATCTTTCCCTTTGGAAAATCGTAATACCGGGACAAACGATTAGCACAGGCTAGATGTTCATAGTGAGATACAGAAGCAACAGGTTCAACAGAGCTTGGAATACAGACTGGCAGTCTTCAGAGTCCCCTGGGGACACCAGGTGTCTATTGCTGAGACCTCCCCACTCAGAAAAATGCCTTTCACTGATAATATCATGTGACTCACAAGCCTTAATCCAGATGGATGGAGAATGAGACTAAGAGTAAGGACTGCAGAGACCAAACCCAAAGGTGAAGAAGATCCTGTTTAGAGTTCTTTATTAAAGCTGAACCAGCTTTCATTGGACAGAACTAGGTCATGTGGTTTTCTGAGTGCACATGTGCTGCTACAATGAACTACATTTGGGTACTTCATAGATAACTTAACAATTCAGACAGAATAATGTCTGGTGAGAGAGATGTCGGCATCAAAATGGCATTTTGTTCCTTCGTCCTTGGGCGGTTAGGTAGAAGGGCAGGACTCCATCTCCCAAGCCATGATGTGTATGTGTGAGTGCCTGCATGTATGCATGTACATTGGCCTCCGGGAACAGGAGTTGCAAGTAGTTAGGAGACACCTGATACAGTTGCTTGAAACTGAACCCAGGTCTTCTGCCAGAGCAGCAAGTGCTGTTAACCTCTGAGCCATTGCTAGTCCCTGTGCCCAAAGTGTTTTTACAATAGTGCTAATTGTATCCAATCTCTAAGGGCTATGTCCTCAGCATGCTGCACAGGTCTGGAGGCAAAAGGACAGCTTTTAGGTCGGTTCTCTCCTACCATATGGATTCTGGAGTTCTAATTCAGGTTTTCAGGCCTTACCTGCTGAGGCATTTATTTCTCTGTTGGCCATTAAGTTTTAACACATGAGTTTGAGGGACATTTTCTGACTATGACACCACTAATATGACATTAAAGTTTTCCCCAAGTTTGTGTTTGTTTTTGAGACAGGGCCAAATTATGCTGTCCCAGGAAGCCTATGTAGTAGACCAGACTGGCCTCCAACTCAGATCTACCTCCGTCTGCCTCCCAAGTGCTGGGCTTAAAGGCGAGTAAGCAACTTTCTCAAGGTTTTATTTAAAATAGGATTTATTGGTATAGCCTTTTCCTCTGAATAAATGCTTTTGAGTAATCCTATGGTCTCTCTATACCTTTAGGTGTGACTTTTAGTGGTGATTTGAGTATTACACAATCCTAGGGGTTTGTATTTTTGTGGATTTAAAATTCACACGATTTTTAAAAATTCAAATGATTTGTTATACCAGGCTCTTGTTTGTGACACATGGTTAGAAAGTACATTTTAAACCGGGTGTTGGTGGGGCACACCTTTAATCCCAACATTCAGGAGGCAGAGGCAGTCGGATCTCTGTGAGTTTTAGGCCAGCCTGGTCTCCAGAGTGAGTGCCAGAATAGGCTCCAAAGCTACACAGAGAAACCCTGTCTCGAAAAAACCAAAAAAAAAAAAAAAAAAAAAAAAAAAGAAAGAAACTACATTTTAAGTGTTATGTGACTAATTTTACCTTTTAATTATATGAATCAATGACCATCTAATGTCATTATTGACCTGATTTTATTTGGTTTTGTTATTTATTTTCTCTTTTTTTCTGACTTTCTCTGCTTTTTCCTCTGTCAATTCAAATTAATTATAATACATTTATTATGGTTAATATATCTTAACTGTATCTCTTTGAATTAATTTTCAGCTGTGTCAGGAACGCTAGGCATGGTGGCAAACACCTTTAATCCCAACACTGGGAAAGCAGAAGCAGGGTATATCTGAGTTCAAGGCCAGCCAAGGTCTACAGAGTGAGTTCAGGACAGCCAGGGCTACACAGAGAAACCCTGTCTTGAAAAAAACAAAAAACAAAACAAAAAGGAATTACAGTAGCATCCCTAATTTACCACCCACAAAGGGTTGGTATTGTGCTACCCTGGTGTATGACTTAAAAAGAACTCAAGGCAGTGCAGTCATGTGTTGCTTTCACTCATTTTGCTATCGCTAACACACCTATAAACACATTCATAAATACACACCAATAGACACATTCATACACACACACCTATAGACACATTCATACATGCATACCTCATATTTCATCTAGCAAACAATAGAAAAGACCTGCTAGGGGAGTGTTCACCCTCCAGTTCTCAGTCCACCCTCCCTCAGCTCGATCGCTCTGGCCTCTACTTGCCGAGCCTTGAAGTGCAGTCGCGGGGATCGTCTGGGAATGCCTGCAGCGTGATGCTGGGGCGGGCCCTCGTGCGACGCTGTGGCGGGTTCCGCTGCAGTGATTTCAAGAGTCTGAGAGAGTCAGCGTCCTCTTTTAAAGAAGAATGGTTCTAGTGAGAGCCTGGAAGTAAGTGCAGCTCGGTCCTTGTAAAATGCAAGGGACACAGCCTGCGCGGAGCTTCAGGACAGTCCCGATCCGTTGTCAAGCTCAGGGTTCTCATTCCTAAAGTTGCCTTCCCACGTTTCAGTCGTCCCCCGACCCCGTTAATGCGTAAAAATGTACTTAACTCATGCATTTTATTTTGTAGGGAGAAGAAACTGAACGAATACCGACACCAAATGCTATTTCACCTTGCATTAGTTCGAGGCGAGAGTAAAAATAAACCTTTGGGGTCCTTCACCCGGGGCGGCCGCTGTCTTGTCTGTTGAGGTGGTAGCCCGTACCTTTTATTAATTCAAGCCAAGGGAGTAAAAGTAAAACATTGCGGTCCTTCACCTGAGAATACCCGAATTTTCTTCTTGGGTCGTTCACTCTTTCTAATAGTCGTGATGTCACAAGGGAAATCACCTGACCAAAAAAGACCCCGTAGAAGCTTATCTACCAGCAAAACTACAAAAAGCCGATCTCATTCGATTATTTCATACTTTCACAGTGCACCACCTGCTAAACTCGCATGTTCAATTTGCCATAAAATGGTGCCTAGGTACGACCTACTTCGGCATCTTGATGAGTCCTGTGCTAACAATGGTGGCGTCGTTCAGGCTGAGCCTGTGCAGGCTGGATTAACGAATCCAACTGTGCCAAGGTCAAATTTACCTGGTATTGCTCTAGAAAACATAACATCCCAGAAGTTGTCACCACCAAAGAGAACTTTAATCCCTGCCGGATGTGGTTCAAAACTGGGCACACAGCAGAAGACCAGTCCCTACTTTAAAGGCGATTCTGTGTGCAAAAATCAAAACGAGCTTCAAAATCAGAATGTGGAAACTATGTCTTTGGGGAGTCTGTCATCTAAACTGTCGAGAAAATACACAAAATCACTGGATAAGAAGGAGGGACTAGCCAGTCATTGTCCACGGAGTTCACCGTCCACAGCTGACCCCAGCCTGGTCGATAACTGTTCAGACATGGGGGACAATGATGAGATTTTGAACAGTTCTCAGAAGGAAAACATTTTTTCTTGTGCATCTCTAACGAAAGAGGATGCTTCCGAACACACAGTAAAGAGAAATAAAATAACTGGAGATGAAAGCGGAGAAGCTTCCTGCAGAGAGTCGGCCCTCGCCCCTGCATCTTCAGACCCCACTGCATCATTATTTTCATTAGATTTAACTCTTTCAAATAGTATAAAGTCTGCTCCAGGTGACAGTCTTGTAAAGCAAGAGGGTGCCAGAGGAGTGGAGGTAGCTAAACAGCTTGAGGCCTGCAGCCATGAAGAGGTGGAAATAACTGTTGATGCTGAGGTTCAAATGCCAGTGTCTGGTAACCAGGTGGTATCAAACAATCCAGCAGATACTTCTACAGGGAATAACAACCGAGAGCTTGGGCAAGGTGGACGAGCCTTAAAGAGACAAATTGCTTACAGCCCTCCAGAGCAGGGATCCAGTTGTGATGTTCCTAGGGAGACAACCCAGCCCCCAATGAACCATCCGTACTACCTGAGGAGCTTTCTGGTGGTGCTTCAGGCCATCCTTGAGAATGAAGAGGACATGAAGCTCTTTGATGACCAGGAGAAGGGGATTATAACTAAGTTTTACCAGTTGTCAGGTATCTTCAGCCTGTTGGCTTTCAAAGTCTTCCTTATCTGATTTGTGTGTGATGTAAGGGACAGTAGTGTAATGACCACAAGGAGTCACTATGGGAGTATTGTGGGACCTCTTACAAGGTCTGTGTCAAGGATAGGCCCAATTGAAACAAGTTCTTGTCCCTGGTGATGTCTCCTGTGCAAGCAGTACTTCAATTAAAATGGCAGTAACTCCCCCCCCCCCTTGGCTTTTTGAGACAGGACTTCTCTGTGACCCTGGCTGTCCCCATGAAACTTGCTTTGTAGATCAGGCTGGCTTTGAACTCAAGAGATCTGCCTTTTGCCTCCCAAGTGCTGGGATTAAATGTGTGCCTGGCTCATGCTGTGTGTCTGTTTTGGTGGTGGTCAAGAGCTGTCCAGTGTCCAGATTTTAAAAAAAGGAAAACTACAGAAGTGGCACACAGGAGTGTAACTATGTTTCTGTCTTGTGACCAACTTCCCATTGAGGATGTTTTCTATTTAGCATCCAGTGTCTTCAAGGACACTAAAATCCTCAGGTGGATGTGGTTATAAACTGCTACACTGGGGGAGAGTTTCCCCAGTGAAGTTGTTGCAGTGGTGAGTAAAGTTTCGGTGTGGAAGAAATGGAAAAATGCAAGCTTAAATTGGTACATAAAAAGACCAGTTTGTTGCTTAAATTCTTGACAGCCAGTGGTGGCTCCTTGTGTGGCTGTCACTGTTAGTCCCAAGCCATGGAGTTTCTGGAGTTAGGTAAGAAGCTGCTTTGGTGGCCACACTGCCTTCTAATGAAGTGTGGCCATGTTGGGGCATTAAAATCCAAGAAAAAACCCTGAACATTGAACATTACTACAAAATCCACCAGGTAAGTGGATTTACGGTGGTGTTATTTTTGAATATGCAAATAATTCTGTGTGCACAGCTAAGTATGTCCACAGCTTCTGTTTGTGTGATTCTCATTAGAAGATGGATGTGATGACATAACAGATTCCTATCCAGAGTGGTCGGATTTCTCTGGTTGGGTTCTGACTGTAGGAATGTGACTTCCTAAGTAGTTGGTATCGCTGCTTCTCCAAAGCCTAGAAGTAGGAACAGATTGAGCCGGGCAGTAAGGGTGCATGTCTTTAATCCCAGCACTCGGGAGGCAGAGGCAGGTGGATTTCTGCTCCAGGACAGCCAGGGCTACACAGAGAAACTATCTCAAAAAACCAAAACAAACAAAAAAAAAAAAAAAGAAAAAAGAAAAAAAAAGGAAGAAAGAAAGAAGGAAAGAAAAACAGAAACACAGGAACAGTTTGCCCAAGCCAAGTTCAACAGATTTTCTGTGTTGCTTTCTATGGAAAATCATATACAACATGTCTTTTTTTGCTTGTTTATTTATTCATTAAAATGTCTTTCTGAGGGAGGGTCTTGGGTAGCTTGGGGCTCTGTGTGTAGTTGAAAATGACTTTGATCCTCTTGCCCCCACCTTTGGAGTGCTGGGCTCACAGGTGTTTGACATCATGCCTGGCCATGTACAATGTACTTTAGGTGAAAATTGCTGCTGCTAATTGCTTCTGCTTCCTTAAAGGAAAGAAATGTTGAAGTTTCAAGGAATGTAATTATATTCTTTTGTAGTTGGCAGAAATTTAAAGACAATCAGGGTTTTAAGGAAGCACTAAGTAGGTTAATTAAGTAGGTTTGCATAGATCAAAACAAGGCATTTTATGGAGGAAGTTCAGATTTCTTTTAATCAAAAGTAGAATAATGTCTTAGTTAAGGTTTATGTTGCTGTGATAAAACACCATGAGCAAAAGGAACTTGGGGAAGAAAGGGTTTATTTCAGTTTACACTTCCACATCACAGTCCATCACTGAGGGAAGTCGGGGTGCTAAGGTCCTGGAGAAGTCCCACAAGAGACCACCATCCATGTATGGAATCAGCAAGAGCATTTATCCCAGCATGCTGGGGCCATCCATCCCAAGCAAAGGCAAGATGGTAATGACCACCAGCAGAGCTCAAAGGCTCCTTTTAAGTATAGCTGAGGGGAGGCCCTAAGGCAGTTAGGTCCTTTTATCTACAATTGGCTTAAATGAGTGGCAGTCATATTAGTATGTTCTAATTGGCTAAGGCTAGTTAGGGGCTGGTCAAGGCTACAGTTTCCCATTTCTGGACAGGCCTGGACAAGTCCCAGGCTTTATCCTTGTTATCTGTTGACTGTGGTTCAGACCTGGTATTTCATGTATCAGATCTCCTTGTTCTTGCTGTCGGGGGTGTTGGAGATTGATTGTTCTTTGTCCATGGTTCCCTCAGAAACTGCTTATTCAATTTCAGAAAACTGAAATTGAGGCCTGATCTATGAGAGAAGACTGCAGCCTGTTAGGGCATCTGTTTGGTCCTCTCAAGGGCAGGAACCCAAATGGGATAGGAACCTGGAGTCAGAAGCTGATGCAGAGGCCATGAAGGAGTGCTGCTTACTGAAGTGTTCTTCATGACTTGTCCAGCCTGCTTTCTTAAATGCACAGGACCACTGGCCTTCGGGTGGCACTGCCCACAGAGCTGGGCCTTCTCCTATTAGTCGTCATTCACCAGTCAAGAAAGTACAGCACAGGGTTGCTCAGTATGGTAGGGGCATTCTCTCAATTGAAGTTTTCTCTTCCAAAATGACTCCAGTTTGTATCAGGTTGTCATAAAACTAGCAGGCACGTGTGTTAAACTAAAAGCAGAGAACAAAATAGCTAGAATTCTGGAAAGGGCTTCTCTGAGGAGTAGAAATGTTGCATCAAAAAGTAGGAGAATTTAGCCGGGCGTTGGTGGTGCACACCTTTAATCCCAGCACTCGGGAGGCAGAGGCAGGCGGGTCACTGTGAGTTTGAGATCAGCCTAGTCTACAAGAGCTAGTTCCAGGACAGGCTCCAAAACTACACAGAGAAACCCTGTCTGGAAAAACAAAAAAAACAAAAAAAAAAAAAAAAAAAAGGAGAATTTGGCTTTAGAAGTTTTGATATGGCCAGTGTTTATTGATAAGTTAGATTTTTAATGGTTTATACCATGAAATGCCAGTATCATACATAAAGAAAAAAGGTGTATATTTCTAATAATACATATTTGCCTGATGTCTAAAAGTAAATGGAATCCGTATGTTTTTGAGAAGAAAGCTAATGATTTTTGCTGTTTTTCTGAACTTTATTGCAGCTAGTGGTCAGAAGTTGTATGTAAGGCTCTTTCAACGTAAATTAACCTGGATTAAGATGAGTAAACTGGAGTATGAAGAGATCTCCTCAGACTTAACCCCTGTGGTTGAAGAATTAGAGGACTCAGGCTTTCTACAGACAGGTATGGTTAGAGGGAGGAGCTGAGAGGAAAATGGAATTTAAGATTTTTCAGTGGGATTCTGTGAGCATGTTAGTGTGGTGCCATCTCCTGATTAGTGTCTGCTAAATAATGATTGCTTTAAGAAAAAAACCTAGAAGCTGTTAGTTGAGGGCAACAGGTTATCATGTGACCTAAGACTGTCAGGTTGGGTGAAGGCCACTAGGGCAGTGACAGGCCAACTGCCATTGCTATCCCGGTGCAAGTGCAGTCTCCCTCCTGGAGATGGAATGCACTGCCATAGAAGGGGACATCCCTCTGGAGCTTTTGTCTTCCGGTGAGAACTTGACTCACCCTGTTCAAATTCCTCATCTCTGACAAAACCAAACCAGCTGAGAAGAAATAAGTCTTCCTCTAAAACCATCTACCCCTGCCATGTCCACACATACCACCCCTGTATGTTGATGACCTGTAGAATTTAATTAGAGTTTAATTAGAGCCGTGTGAACACCAGACAATCTGTCTTCTCTTGAGGGTGCCCTGGGTTGTCCTGTACAGTACTGGATGGGAAGGGGCATAAGGAGAATGAGGGGTGTGCGGCCAAGTTCAAGTTGTGGATACTTTTGACAAAATAAACAATCATAGTAGATGGCTTTGGGGGGAAGAGTTTGTAGTGGGAATAGTAGGTAAAGATGATGATGGGTGATTGCTAGGGAGTGGATGGATGGGTAGAGGTGGCGCATGCTGGGGAAGGGTGGGGGTACAATAGCAGCTTGGCTTGAGCGGTCAGTAGTGTTTTCCATTCCTTGGTAGAAGTTGATCCTTTTCTCCTCCTGACTTGGAAGATCTGATGAAAATTCTATAGGTTGATATGTTTGACAGAGGGCATGCCACTGGGGACACATATAACTTAGCAAGACCAGAGCCCCGATGGCTCACCGTGGACACTTCATGGCTGTTTCCTCTGCATCTTGCAGCCACACTGCAGTCCTTGGTAGTCTTTATCATGGTAAATGCATTCTCATTTCATAAGCTTGAAATTAATGTCTTTTCTTCATAGAACAGTGCCCACCTTCTTACTGCACAAACCTGTCCCTCATTACATTCTGCACTGTGTTCTTGTAAGAGATTTGCCTGACTATCCTGTGTAAAGCATCTGCCCACCCTCCCAGGCTTTGTTGGCCTCACTTAATTTTGTTTTTCATTATGTGCCTGTGGGCGTGTGCTTAAGAGTACAAGTGCCCAGGCCAGAGGCATCAGGTCACCTGCAGCTGGAGTTAGATAGTGTTGCTCCTGGGAACCGAATCCAGGTCTTCTGGGAGAGCAACAAGTGCTCTTAATTGCTGAGCCATCTGTACAGCACCTAGCTCTGTTTTCCTTTATACCACCCTTTCCTGCCTAGCATGAGTAATTATTATGGTAGGAGATGAGCTCCCTTTAGTCAAGGACCTTGCTCACTGCAGTGTCCCCAGGGCCTTAGAACTGTACACCCAGTAAATACATACAAATGGAGGAAGAAGATAGCACCCGAAACTGAATGTCTTAAAGACAAATGGCTGGGTCTGATTCAGCCCAGTGCATTTGGCCTGGTGTGGACCTGGGGTTCACCATAGCAGGGTGTTGGAGGACTGAGCCCAGTTAAGGCTTTCCAAGCTGCATCATGGAATAGAGGGCTGAGTGGAGGAGAGTGGGCAGTCACTTTCCTCTGTGACCTAGTTGGACACCTCACATGGCTACAGATGAGCAAGATGGAGACTGTATCCCAGTAATGTTTGTTCATAGTTTGTGTTTACAGTGGGTTTTGTTTGACTGATTGATTGATTGATTGATTGATTGATTGATTGATTTTTTTTTTTCAGACAGGGTTTCTCTGTCCTAGAACTCACTATGTTGACCAGGCTGGCTCGAATTCACAAAGATCTGCCTGCCTCTGCCTCCCAAGCGTTGGGATTAAAGTCGTGCACCACCACCACCTGGCTGTTATCTGTAGTCTTCAATGGAAAGGGTTTTTGATGAACTCTTGGCAAACTTGTGCTTGTTTTGGAAAACTTATTACAATTTCTATAGAGAAATTTCATTTTATTTTTATCTAGCTAATTCTTTTCCTTCCCTGAGTAAGTAATATTAGACAATAGTAAATTCTATATATCTCTTTGAACTTCTGGTTGTTGTTAACTGTTTCAGAATCTGAGTTGCAAGAACTCTCTGATGCACTTGAACTCCTTTCTGCCCCTGAACTGAAAGCCCTGGCCAAAACCTTCCACCTGGCGAGTCCCGCTGGGCAGAAGCAGCAGCTGGTAGATGCCCTTCTCAAACTGGCCAGACAGCGCTCGGTCTGCACCTGGGGCAAGACTCAGTCTGGAATCAGAGCAGTGATTTTAAAAAGGTCTGTGGCCATTTGTATCAGTGAAAATGTTTGCTGTGTGCGTACCTCTTCAGACTGTGGCTGCTCATGCCAGTTGCGTTGCGGTTGACAACTGAAAGCCTTTACTCTGCTGTCTCAGTGCTTTATTGAAAGTTCTTGTTTTAAGACTACTAGTTTCTAGAAGCAAGAAAAATCAGTAGGCAGTAAAGCAAAGGCATAGATCTTTGGTGCGTATCCATAATTTATTATCTAAGAGAACTAAAAATATCCCTGACTGCTGTTCTTGCAGCCTTCAGGGCAGCTGTCAGTCACATTTTTAATTTACGAAGCTTTTTATTGGAGTGCTGTGAGCCAGGCTTATATGCATCTCTCTCCCCCCCCTAAATTTTACCCAGTGCTCTGGGGGGTTTCTGTGATCTTTAGGAAGTACTTGAGCTGTTAATTTAGGGAAAGTCATGAAAACCTGTGGAGTTCTTTTACCTTGAAATCTATAAAGTCAGAGTATATGTACTTTAGCCTGACACGAATTAGTCCGGAGCAATTGAGGATAAAATGAGATACTGGTTTATTTTGTATATTACATGTGTCTCTTCATAAATGACTCCATTTTAATAAATTATGTGTGTAGACATTGACTACAGAAGTATGAAGTCCTGGGGCTTGGATTGTAGCTCAGTGGTCAAGCACTTGCCTAATGTGTATGTGCAAGGCCTCAGGTTCAGCACCTAGTGCCAGAAAAAAAAAAGTGTACGTACCTACAGAAGTATGAGATCCTTATCTACTTGGTATGTTAATTGTTTTCAAAATACTATTTTTGTCTGCTTTTATTTTTAAACTAAACGAAACCTTATATGTCACATTTTGTAAGTTGATGTGCATTAAAATGACCAGCTTTCATTATCAGAACTTAGATATGACCAGGTGTAGTAAGAGAAAGAAAGTGAACAGTTTTCAACACTGGATTTGGAGTTGCATGGAGATAACTCTCTCTGGGCTATTTACCTTGTACTGAAATCCTTGAAGATTATCTGCACAGCTCTACCTGTGCATGGCTATGGCTCCCCACTGAGGACACAGAAATTGGTGCTTGCTTAATCTAAGAGTCCCTGCATGGTTTTCTTCAGCCCGGAGGCTTGCTTTGCTGGACGCTGCATGCACAGGCCAGTAGATACCAGCAGATGAAACTGAGGTTCACCCCAGGTCAGGAGTGGGTGCTTCGGGCAGCCTCTGTAGATGAGCAGTTTTCAATCAGCTGCTGCTGTGCTGGATCCCTCTCCTGTGTCTCAGGACTCTCAAAGTGTCACTTGACCTCTGCAGTGCCCCTAGATATCAACAACTGATTTCCATTGAGAAACTTTCAAATGAGAAGGTATGAAGCCTTCCCTAGGGCCACTGACTCAACTGGGGGTGACTGCCCCTTGGGAGCATCTGGCACCATCTAGAGACGGTTTCTGGTGGTCACCACTGGGGGAGGGGCAGTGTTAATGGCATCTTGTGAGTGAAGACAGATGTGCTGAGCATCCTGTTATAGAATGCACAGGAGAGCCCCCAAACCCCCAAACAAGGAGTTACCCAGCCTAAATACCAATGGTATCTTGGCCAAGGAAACCCATTGCTGTGGCCCTAGATTTAGTTCAGACCTCCAAACTCACCTTGCAGATGCCTCCAGATGTTCTGGAATGGCAGTGTTTCCAGACGGTTTTGTGAACTGGAATAACACCAGACCTTGAATGCGGCTGCATCACTTCATCTCAGCTGCTGCCTGCCAAGAGCTTCTGTTAGTAATGGTTTAAGTACCTCTTCTCACCTTCCTTCCTTCCTTCCTTCCTTTCCCCCCCTCCCTCCCT